CCAGCGCTAACATTAGCTACAATCCATATCCGTCGCTCTTTCTCAGATATACCGACACCGCAGAGACATGTCAACACTATCAGATAAGCCCACGCACGCTAGCTAGCTGCAACTTCCTGCGTCGGCAGATTTGCTGATAAAAATTCTTCGGCCGAAAAAAAAACCCCCCCAAAAGATTCTCTTTTGTTTTTAACTCATCGTCGTCGTATAAAAAAAAAGGATGTTAATCCCCGCACCTCCCCCGCCCCCCCACTAGGGCCTCTCTTGGAAACAGTAACCGCGGTTTGTTCTACTTTTTTTTTTTTTTTTTTCACATCTGGTAAAAATGCGAAACCTCTAAAAACCACATCCTGGGAGCGCTAGTGTTTAGATTTCGTAGAATCAAAGCAGAACCAGTAGGGGGGGTTTCCCTCCCTGCTCTGACTCCGCCCCCCCCCTCCCCCACTGAGTGTCAAACAGAGATCGTAAGAGTAAAACCAGAGATCAAAGTGAGGTTCACTCTACGAAATACCAGGAAAGAGTATCGCAATTTGTGTCGACGACCCCCCCCCCCTCCTCCCCCTCCCTCTGCCTCCCCCTAGTGTCACCGAGTGTCGTTTGTTGACTGGAGCTGACGCTACACAGACGCAGCAGCAGCAGGAGTGAACTCAGTGACCCGAGCTAACGTTAGCTACGACAGTCCTGGTGCAGACACCAGAGCTAACGTTCGCTACAACAGTCCTGGTATAGACACCAGAGCTAACGATAGCTACAACAGTCCTGGTATAGACACCAGAGCTAACGTTCGCTACAACAGTCCTGGTAGAGACACCAGAGCTAACGATAGCTACAACAGTCCTGGTACAAACACCAGAGCTAACGTTCGCTACAACAGTCCTGGTACAAACACCAGAGCTAACGTTCGCTACAACAGTCCTGGTAGAGACACCAGAGCTAACGATAGCTACAACAGTCCTGGTATAGACACCAGAGCTAACGATAGCTACAACAGTCCTGGTTTAGACACCAGAGCTAACGTTCGCTACAACAGTCCTGGTACAAACACCAGAGCTAACGTTGGCTACAACAGTCCTGGTACATACACCAGAGCTAACGTTCGCTACAACAGTCCTGGTAGAGACACCAGAGCTAACGTTGGCTACAACAGTCCTGGTATAGACACCAGAGCTAACGTTGGCTACAACAGTCCTGGTACAAACACCAGAGCTAACGTTCGCTACAACAGTCCTGGTACATACACCAGAGCTAACGTTCGCTACAACAGTCCTGGTATAGACACCAGAGCTAACGATAGCTACAACAGTCCTGGTAGAGACACCAGAGCTAACGTTCGCTACAACAGTCCTGGTACATACACCAGAGCTAACGTTCGCTACAACAGTCCTGGTACATACACCAGAGCTAACGTTGGCTACAACAGTCCTGGTATAGACACCAGAGCTAACGTTGGCTACAACAGTCCTGGTAGAGACACCAGAGCTAACGATAGCTACAACAGTCCTGGTAGAGACACCAGAGCTAACGATAGCTACAACAGTCCTGGTACATACACCAGAGCTAACGTTCGCTACAACAGTCCTGGTACAAACACCAGAGCTAACGTTCGCTACAACAGTCCTGGTATAGACACCAGAGCTAACGTTCGCTACAACAGTCCTGGTACATACACCAGAGCTAACGTTCGCTACAACAGTCCTGGTATAGACACCAGAGCTAACGCTAGCTACAACAGTCCTGGTACTTTCTCTACTATTACTACTAATACTATGTGTAGTACTCCTAAATCTTAGTACTAAAACTAAATCTACTACATTTACTACTACTACATGTAGTAGTACTACCACTATGTATGTAAACTACTAGTACTAGTAATATGTGTACTACTATTACTACCGCTACGTGTACTACTACTACTATTAAGTGTACTACGTGTACTACAACTAGCACATGTACCACTACTACTACGTGTAGTACTACTATTACTAGTACTACTACTATATATGCTACTACTACTATGTGTACTACTATGTGTTACTAGTATGTGTACTACTACTACGTGTACTACTATTATAACTATTACTACTAATATGTGTACTACTACGTGTAGTACTACTACTACTACGTGTACTACTACTACATGTGGTACTAGTACTATGTGTACTAGTATTATTACTACTACTACTACATGTACTGCTACTACATGTGCTACCACTATGTGTACTACTACTACTATTATTACTACTACTACACGTACTTTCAATTTCCATTCGGGAAACACCTTTTACACCATCATATACTTCACCGTATACATTCTCCCCCCCCCTTGTGGCGGTACTGCAGTACTGACCTGCTTTATCAACATGTACGTTTCCGACATGATCTTCTCGACCCGGGCCAGGTCGTAGGTCATGACCTTCTGACCCTGCTGCCAGACCTTGTAGGCGTCGAGCAGCAGCGTCTTCCCGGACTCGGCGTCTTCCAGAAGTTTACGCTTCCTGTTCGGTCGGCGTAGCGTCGCCGCCGGGTCAACTTCGGTGACCTTTGACCCCGCTAGCGCCGACGACGCTAGCTGCTGCCTGGAACTGATGCTTAGCTCCTCCAGAGAGAGTTCCGAAGTCCTTCCGACGTCGGTCGCCTTCGGCGTCGTCGTCGGCGACTCCGATTCCGATACGACTCCGCCGACGGCTCCTAGCGTTCGTTTACCCTGATGCTCGTTAGCGTCGTTAGCGTCGTTAAATCCGAAGTGACCCGCTTCTGTCTCCATGGGTTCGTCCGGCGCCTCCTGGAGAACCGAAGAAGAACTCCTCCTAGTGGACGACGCCGACGACGACACCGACGCCGGCGGAATTTTCGGCGCCGGAGTTTCCGCCGGATTTTGAGGATTACCGCCCGCTTCGGCGAGCTTCTTCGAACCGTCCTCCGAGCCGGGTCTGGCGGACGCGTCCGTCGTGGTCATGGACGTAGCGGAAGACGGCTGCGACACCTGGGTGGGGGAAAAAAAATTAGCGCAAAAAAAAAAAATTAGCGCAAAAAAAAAATTTGCGAAAAAAAAAAAAAATTTTTTTTGTCCTCGTTGTCTTCGTTGTCCTACCCCGGTGAGACGGTCCAGATTGTCCTCCAGGACGTTTACAGTGAAGGAAAACGCTCTCTTGGCCAACAGTTGCCGATCGACATCGCGTAAATATTTCCTTGTCGGAAGAAACAGGGAAAAAAGGGAAGGAAAAAAGGAAGAGAAGAAGGTCAGCGTTGGTGGGGAGTAAGTCTCAAAAAAGTCGCTCAAAGAAGAGGGGGAGGGGAAACAGGGGGGGAGGGAGAGGGGGCGTGGCCTTACTTTCCCTGATCGGGAGTTCGCTGTAGCATCAAGGAGACTTTGAGCAACGTGTCGTGATCCTTGAGGTGAGACAGCACCTCCAGCAGGAGGACGATGGATCTGTTCATATGCGACGCAAAGCTCCCCGGGCGGTCAATCTCGTCGACTGGGATTCGCCAGATTCCCTGGTGAGAGAGAGAGGTATCGCGAAAAATAAGTAATAGAAAAAATTTCTAAAAAAGTTACGAGTTTAGTCGAGACATCGGAACGGTTGACGGACGAACGGATGAGACGCTAAAAATAAAAAATAAAAAAAAAATTAAAAGGGGAAATGGCATTGATAAGGTAGAGAAGCGGGGGAGGTGGTGGGGGGGATGGTTGCCCACCCCCCTTCACCTCATTCGCTCAACAGGAAAAAGAAAGAGGGAAAAAAAAAAAAAAAAAAACAAAAAAAGAAGAAGTCGATGGTTCTCAATCCAGGGGGCGCTACAGAGACTCTGCCTTACATCGGAGAAGGTCAACGGTTCAATTCCCCGGGGGGGGGGGCGTTCAATATGGAGTTCTACAAGGGTGGGCTCCCAGTCCTAAAATTTTTAAAGGTTAGCCTTTAGCCTTTTAGCCTATTAGCTTTAGCCGTTAGCCTCTGAGAAGGACTTCCTGTTTGAAATTTTTTTTTTTGTTTTTTTTTTTTCTTAGTTCAAATGATCGGGACGAAACGCACAACAGATACCGTATTCTCACTGATGTTAGCTCGATTGCGCTAACGTCGCTTAGCCGATATTATCGGGTTATCTGTGACCTCCCGACGGGATGTGAACGTTTATCGGTAGAGGAAGAAAAAAAAAAATATGGCGTCACATCTGGAGTAACATTAATAAATAAGAAAAAAAAAATGTCGGCAACAGTTGCCGAACGGCTAGCTAACGAGCAGCGAGACCAGGAAACGTTTCGACGTATCTACGTTCGACTCCCGATGATGTCGATGTTGGCGGGTTCAACATCAGAAACATCAACTGACGAAAAAAAAAGTTGCTGCGTTCACGAACGGAAGCAACGACAACAACAACAACAACAACAACAGTTGTTGCTAGCGCTACAACCGACGACAACTGATGATCCGCCGCGATGCTTCCTGTTGCCGATGTCAGCAGTCGGCAGCGAGTGGGTGTGTGGCGTAACGCTGCGACGAGATCCGAACATCAACGTCAACAAAGTTGCCCTTATCAAAAAAAGTGGAAAAAAAAAAAAAAAAAAAAAGAAAAAAAAAAAAAAAAAAAAACCCCAACCCAAAAAAAAAAAAATCCCTCGGAAGAGAAACCATCGGGCGAATTTTCTTATCCGGCAACCTCCGGCAACTAACTCTCCGGTGGTGGGGGGGCAACTCCTCCAGCGTGAAAAAAGGTTTCATTTTCTCCGAGCGACGACGACGACGACGACGGGGGGGAGAGAGAAACTAACGCAGCTGCTCTCGGCACGACGGGAACCGAAGGAGGAGGAAGATCGGCGTCGGTCGGACGAGAGACGGAGGAAGGCAACGTCGGACGACGAGGAGCTGCTGCTGCGTCGTTTCTCTCGTCGTCGTCGTCGTGAAAAAAAAAAAACAAGAAAAAAAAAAACACACACAAACCACCCACGCACTCTCTCTCTCTCCTGACCCCTCGTTCGCCCTCCCTCCCTTTCTCTCTCTCTCTCTGTTTCTCTTCTTCTCCCACTATACACCCTCCTCGTCGTCGTCGGCCAATCAGAGCAGAGCGGGAGAAATTCCCGCCCACGCGCTGCGAGATACACACACGCAAAAAAACACAGAGAGAGAAAAGAGAGAGAGAGGAGTGAGAGAGGAAGGAAGGAAACGGAGCGAGTGCAGCGAAGAGGAGGGGGAGGGGCTAGGGGAGGGG